TATCAACACCCTCAGCGGGATTCGAACCGCGACAGTGCAGGACGGTAGCTTGACACGCTGACCACTCGGCGTGTGAAATGCAATGGAAACGTCAGCTCAACTCATATCATTGTGGGAAAATTCTACTACCAGTCCTTCATCACCTTACACAAATGGAAACGTCAGCTCAACTCATATCATTGTGGGAAAATTCTACTACCAGTCCTTCATCACCTTACACGGGAAAACGTCAGCTCAACTCATATCATTGTGGGAAAATTCTACTACCAGTCCTTCATCACCTTACACGAAAAAAGTCAGCTAAACTCATATCATTGTGGGAAAATTCTACTACCAGTCCTTCATCACCTTACACGAAAGAAACGTCAGCTCAACTCATATCATTGTGGGAAAATTCTACTACCAGTCCTTCATCACCTTACACGAAATTGTAAAAGTCAGCTAAACTCATATCATTGTGGGAAAATTCTACTACCAGTCCTTCATCACCTTACACGAAATAATTCAATGGTAACGTCAGCTCAACTCATATCATTGTGGGAAAATTCTACTACCAGTCCTTCATCACCTTACACGAAATAGCGTCAGCTAAACTCATATCATTGTGGGAAAATTCTACTACCAGTCCTTCATCACCTTACACGAAATAGGGGATCAGCTCAACTCATATCATTGTGGGAAAATTCTACTACCAGTCCTTCATCACCTTACACGAAATAGGGGCCAGCTCAACTCATATCATTGTGGGAAAATTCTACTACCAGTCCTTCATCACCTTACACGAAATAGGGTGAAAACTCATATCATTGTGGGAAAATTCTACTACCAGTCCTTCATCACCTTACACGAAATAGGGTGAATACATACTCATATGATTGTGGGAAAATTCTACTACCAGTCCTTCATCACCTTACACGAAATAGGGTGAATACATCCTCATCACACTGATTTACTGGTAGTCTCGAAACCCTACTTTAATACGAATATAAGTAACGTTGTCGATTACTATAGAAAACATAAGACTGATAAAATTCTACTACCAGTCCTTCATCACCTTACACGAAATAGGGTGAATACATCTCATTACACTGATTTACTTCTCGAAGCCCTACTTACATACGAATATGACTATGTGTAGTTCAAACCTAGTTTCTTATTCGTACGGCTGATATTTATTGTTTTTCCTAATTTATTTATTTATTTGGTATCTTTAATATGTTAATGTAAACAAATTTCGCGAAGAATGAAGAAACAATGGCTTTTGCTGTTTATGGTGTTATGACGCCGATTCAAGCTTGTCCGATTGAATTTCATGAATTTCTTTTAAAATAGTGCATTACATTTTAGCTTTCATCTCCTTATTTGTTAACACATTTAGGCACTGAGTACGCCAGTACTTCGCTTTTCGGAATAACCCCTCCACCGTCGGTAGCTGTCTCTTCTGTTCCGGGCCACCACACGGCCTACATGGTTACACTGCCCTCTTCTGTCGTTGCGCGGCGCCTCATGTTGCCTGACGACCCTGGTCTCCTTTTGCCCATCAGCCAGGCCTGCTTCGCCTCTGGCGCTGCCGCCATTTCTGCCGGGACTCGAAGTACACACCTTCAAGCCGCGAGTGGATTCGGTAGCCTGACCAATGATGGCCTTACCACCACACCGGCCTCTGTAGCCATGGCACTTTCGCCCTCACCCTCTTCGTCTTGCTCCTCCCCCTCCTCCTGCTCCTCTTCATCCTCCGCCGCCGCCGCTGCAGCCGCCGTCATCGTCTCTTCTGCCTCAGCGACAACTTCGGCCGCTACAGCAGCAAACAATTCGGCCGAACAAGCTCTGTTGGCCGGGACGGCTGAAGAGGTCGGACAATGCCTCGGCCTCGGGCTGGGCCATCCGCCCATTGGTGGTCTCTCAGGGCCTCTGATCTCGAGTGCCCAATACCAAAGCATGCTGGCAACCCCGGAGAATGGGGTACATGCAGCCGGACTCAGTCCTTATCATCTCTACCAGCCGACGGGTCAACTCGGCGGCTTTTCTGAAAGTCAAGCTGCTCAGCTCGTGTGGGCAGAGGCCAATGGACTCTCGGTGAGAAAGGAACACTTGCTGTTGCTGAGGCTGTTTAGTTGCTGACCTCTTGCTCATTCGGCAGTGAGGATAGCAACAATGCCCCACCGACAACTGATTGGAAGGGTGAAATGTAAAAGGGAGGGTTAAGTCGGCTGAGTTAGGCAACTGTGCAAGTTTGTCTTGTTGAGCTCACTTCCATTTCGAGTAAATGTGCACGATGAACCGCTTTGAA